ATTTTTCCAGTTCTAAAGATGTACTCTTTCAAATGCATCAATATGCAAAAAAGAGCAGCTATTTCCACTGTAAATAGGCTACCTGGGAAAGCCTGTGGAAACTGGTGAGGAAGGGGCGGAACCAAAGGTACAAAGGCAGCCTCCTGGGAGCGCCTGCTGGGAGAACGCCTTCCAGCTCAGGTCATTAACCTGAGATAGAGAGCCCGAGGCTCCTCGTGCCTGGTAACACAGGCAGGTGGTGGATTGGAATCTCCCAGACGAGCTTCTTCCAGGACACTTACTTCTTGCAAGCCAAGTCTTAGTGACAGAGGCTCCTGCGGACCCTCTGGAGAGAGAAGCATCTAAACGTGTCAGAGAAATAAAACCCGACTAAATTTGTATGTCAGAGTCATGGGCAAACCTTCAGCACGGGCCACACCTGTGCAGGTGAAGGATGTTCCGGATCGAGAGCCAGTTTACAGCAGTTATGTGAGCAGAAATGTGCTGGGCCCCCAGGACACAGGATCCTGTCCTTAGAGATTACAGTCTCCTAGCTTGGCGTGTGAGAGGTGGAGCACAGGTCCCACACGCAGGCACAAAACCACAAAGGAAAAACGGTAAATGCAATGAAAGAAGAGAATGAGGCATTCATAGTGGGTGTTGGGAGTTTGGCTTAATCAAGGCTCAAGTACGAGTGAAAGTTCTTTCCAAGAAAAAAAAAGTGAGAAGACTCCTGTATTTGCAGAGGATATATCTACACAATTTATGTGGGCAAGGGAGGACACTCCAGAAGAGGAATGAACAAGTGTGAATATCACACGGTGGGGGTGAATGTAGGGAGGGAGGAGATTGCCCAGACAGCTGGACCCTGAGGAGGGCAACCGGGTCGGCACGTGTCAGACAAAGTGGACTTCCCTAAGTCCACAGCAGGACCTCGGCCTCTTGTTCCCAAAGCTATGTGGGAGCAGGAAGGGATGTCCAGGGAGGAAGTGACACCGTCAGTTTTATGTTCTGAAGTGCTCGTTTGGGCTGCAGAGCAGTCAAGAGGGACAACAGTGCAAGTGGAGACCACAGGAGGGCAGGGTTGACACGGCAGCCAGGCTGGCGGAGCACGTTAGAACATGCCCATTTGAGAAGAATTCGGGGCTCTAGATCAGACATGAGCCGTGACAGAGGGAGATTACAAGCTGGACTTCCAGGCTTTTGGTTCGTCTCTTAGGTTCACAGTGGTGCTGTTTAAGGAGCTAAGACTTGGAGCAGACGGTAGCTCTACTTAGGACATGTGGTGTCTGAGACACTCTGAGACCTAAGTCAGAAAGGTTTACAATTTGAAGGAAATGGCTGAAGCTTTCTGAAGCTGCTAAGTCTCCCACAGGTAATGCAGTCAGGGCACACGCTGATGAAAGAGAGGTCCTGAAAGAGGCATGACCAGACAGTCATGGCCACCATTAAGACCCTGAGTTTGAGAAAAAATATCCCTATCCCTTTGCAGGCTGCCGATGCTTTGTGTAGAGGTAGTTGACTAGCTTGTGAAATAAATGACACAATTGTATCTATTTGTGGAGAATTCATCAACTTTCTTTAAAGTTGCCATGAGGAACTTTATGTAGAAAGGCATTGCCTTCAAAAAATGGCCATCTCTATAGAGATTCAAGCTTTTCTTTTGGGGCTCAGTGGAGGAGCTGCTAGCTAGAGAGGTGACCATGAGGGGGTTCACCCTCTCCAGGCACCTTCTGATAGCCCCAAGGGCCTGGTGAACACAGGGTGGTAGATCCACCCACCTGTATGCCCTGGCGCACCTGGTGGGAAGTGCTGCTCTAGACACATACTTCTCCAATGTGCATCCAACTCCAGCGCATCTTACCAGATTTGCATCCTGCAATTAGCCAGTTGGACCAGGAGTCTTCATTTCTCACAATCTCCCACGTGACACAGAAGATGGCAATCTGGGAGCCTGAGGTGAGGCTGTTAGTTTAAAACAAAACAAAACAAAACAAAACAAAACACAGTGTTAGAGGAAGAGAGAGAGAGGTTTTCTGCCATAGTGACAGGAGGGGGCTCCAAGGGAGGGAGAGAGAGGAGAGAGGGGGAGGGAGAGCAGAAAGAGGAGGTGGAAGTCTGTTTTTATGGCCAGGGCAGTTGGAATAGGGCCTTGAGGGATTGTTGGATAAGGCCACCAGGGCTCAGAGGACTGGTAGCTGTGGTGGTAGGTGGGTACTAGAAGGAGGGGCCACAGGGGGTTGGTGGATAGGGCAGTTAAGTACCGTGCTGTGAGGTTACAGTGATTGGTGGGAACAGGGTTACAAAATTACAGCAAATTGCTGGAGAACAGGGTTGTGAGGTCACAGCAGGTGGGCGGCAATAAAATTTGAACCTGATGGGAGTGAATCTTGAGGAAGCAGAGATCTAGGGGAAGCGGGTGCTTAAAATGGCGTGAGTCCAGAATGGCAGGGGTTGTTTTAATCTTCAGGACGATGTTTGAGTCACCGCTCACAAAGGCAATGCGTTCAGATCCTAGGGCCAGTTGCTAATGAATGCTGGGTCGTTATTGCTGAGTCATTAAATGTCCGTGTTTGATTCCCAAATGAACAGTGCGTGGCAGCAACTGGGAACCGATGCCTCAGAACTTTTTCGATGGCTGCAGAAAATGAGCAATATTTAAATGTAGGAATCACACTCCAAAAAGCAGAGGATCGGGAGGCAGCTCATATTGTCAGTTTCAGCCGCCAGCTCAAGAAGTAGTTCTGATAAGGAAAAATAATCTAGGGGGAAATAGGTTGCTGGTTGATAGAGGTACTTGAAGATGTGAGAAAGACGCAAGTTGAATGGGATCACTATCATCTCAAAATAGTCAAAGCCGCAGGATCTAGCTGGAGGATAAGAGTGAGGGCGCAGACATTGACTGCCAGAAATACAGTTCCTCATCCTAACACCGTGATGGGGAAAGGACAACACCTCAAGAGTCAATTGTTCCGAGCTGACAATTCTGGCATGAGATAAGTAATGCTTTTAGTATCCTGCTAGATTTTAAGGGTTCATTTCTGAATGAGAGGGAAAGGCCGGTGATGGCTAGGGAAATTGAGAACAAACTTCTAAAAGTCTTCTTGACACGCGAGTTAGACTTTAGAAAGGTGTGCTGCTAACAGCAGCTGAGAACTTTTTTTTTTTTAAACAAACTTTCTCTGAAATTTTACAAATCCTAAGAATTCTTTACTTTTATGTAATAATTTCAGATTTTGCCCAAATAAATCTTCATCATTAGAGTTTCTTTTTCCTATCTAATATCAACCTCATTTTGAACAAGAGCATGGTCAATAAAGCAAACAGAAGCTTAACATTACTCTCATTTTTTTTAAAAAAATCCTTAGTTTGGAGCAATACAAAATTTTTAAAAGATTTTTTTTTTAAAATTGGAAACTCAGATATACAGAGTAGGAGAGGCAGGGAGGAAGATCGTCCACCGATAATTCACTCCCCAAGTGACCACAATGGTCACTGCTGAGCCGATCCAAAGCTGAGAGCCTGGAGCTTCTCCTGGGCCCCACAGCTTTGGACCATCCTCACTGCTTTCAGGCCATAGGCAGGGAGCTGGATGGGAAGCGAGGTTGCCAGGACTAGAACCGGTGCCCGTATGGGATCCTGGTGTGTGCCAGACAAGGACTTTAGGCACTAGACTACTGCGTCAGGCTAGCAATACAAAATTCTAAGAAATGAGTTAACAAGTTAAAATAGAGTATGAAAATAATCTCTCAATTTCCTATTAAAGAAAAAGAATGAGCTACATGTGGAGAACATTAAACAATGTTAGAACATTGCAATGTATACATCCTAAATAGACATGGACTTAGAAAATATGTCATTTAGGCTTTCTTTGTGAAAAGAATTTTGAAGTCTGTGAAAAGAATTTTGAAGTCTGTCTCAACTGAAATGAATCAAAATTCAAAATCAAAATAAAAAAAAAATCATATTCAATGAGTATGTGACCATGTCATTGTAAATATGATTACAAACTGAAAGCTGATGTCCAGACAGATACCGAAAGAAAATACAAAAATAATACTTCACGGTATCTGAATGAAAAACTCGAATTTAAATAATAAACACTGTGAAGAAAAATGCCAGGGAGACTCTGGGTATCAGGAAGCTTTAAATTACTCAGGGGGAATGAAAAACAAAACACTGAATCTTACCTGACATTGATAAGCTGGGAGGATTTGTCTTCAGCAGGCCTCCGTTATCAGTAATAAGAGTTTGTTAAGGGAAGTTCTTTAGGTGATGCCAGTCGGAAGGCTAGCCCTACAGGAAGGAGTGAAGAATGCTGGACAAGACAGGTGTGTGGGTGAATAGAAACAGCCTCACATAAATACGCAGGCATATGCAGTTTTATACGTTTGGTGGTATAAGCAATAGAAATCCACTTCTCCCCCTCCCCGGGGGCTGCGTGTGCCAGATCGGAGGGTCCACACAGACAGGTGCTAGGTTCCTCTGGGTTGTAGGAGGTTGACTTTTCCTTTTCCTTTCCACGGATGAGACTATGGCCCTGTGGCCTGTGCTGCTGACTGGGGTGTCCGGGACACAGCCACTCCCTGGGGCAGCGTCCTTGGTGCCGACACACTTTGTCTTCAGGAGTCAGGAAACTGGCCCAGGACTTCTGTTCATCCCGAGGACCTGGTTTTTGTTCAGCCCATTTTAAAATGCCAGCTATGCCGCTTATTTGTTGTTTTTACTTGGGAAAGTTATGTAAACTTACCGTGCCTACGTTCCCTCACCTGTAAAATGTGATGAAAATAGAACTCTTATTAGGAGAATTCAAATGCACTGTTACTTATAAAGGACCCCAGTAATGTCTGGTGCTTGATAAGCATTCCGTAAATGTTAGCTAGAGTCATTATCATAATCATCATAATCATTGCCTTTGATTTTGGTTGCCACAGCAGCCGAGAAAAGATATCTCCGTTTCCAGGCAGGAAGGCAGTTCCTGCACCACATGCCAATTCCTTCCTGACTTAAGAAGTACTTAGCACTTTCCGGCTTGGGCCCTACGAGATGGCTCCTGCGAAAAAGGGCGGCGAGAAGAAGAAGGGCCGTTCCGCCATCAACGAGGCGGTGACGCGGGAGTACACCATCAACATCCACAAGCGCATCCATGGAGTGGGCTTCAAGAAGCGAGCTCCCCGGGCACTGAAGGAGATCCGGAAGTTTGCCATGAAAGAAATGGGTACACCAGATGTGCGCATTGATACAAGGCTCAACAAAGCTGTGCGGGCCAAAGGAATAAGGAACGTCCCGTACCGCATCCGCGTGAGGCTGTCCAGGAAACGGAACGAGGATGAAGATTCACCCAACAAGCTCTATACTCTGGTTACCTACGTGCCTGTCACCACTTTCAAAAATCTACAGACTGTCAATGTGGATGAGAACTAAATAAAGTTGTAAGACTGCCCTTCTTTCCTAGCAAAAAAAAAAAAAAAAAAGAAGTACTTAGCAGTGGCTGGCCACTGTGGCGGAGTGGGTAAGGCTGCAGCCTGTAGCACTGACATCCTATGTGGGCTTTGGTTCCACTCCCAGCTGTTCTACTTCCAAACAAGTTCACGGCTAATGTGCCTAGGAAAGCAGCAGGAGATGGCTTGAGTGCTTGGGCCCTTGCACCTGTGTGGGAGATACAGAGGAAGTTCTTGATTCCTGACTTTGGACTGGCTCAGCTTTGGCAGTTGTGGTCATTTGGAAATGAACCAACAGATTGTTTAAAAGACCCAAATAGGATTTTATTGTTAAGGAAGAGAAGGAAAAAGTCACTGCCAAGTAGCAAAGCCAGGGCCCTTTCCTGGTCCCCACCCTTGCCTTGCCCATCAAGGATGCCCTGCCTCAGGGATGGGCCCTGGGAGCCTTGCCCACCGATGCCATCTCTGCTTTCCTGCAACCAAAGCTGAATCTGGACATGGGTTTGGGAAGGGTTTGGCAACAGCTTCTGCCCCATGCGGGGCCACCATGTCCCCAGGGCTCCCTCTCCTCTTCCCCTGGCACTGAGTGCTTGGAAGTTGGTAAGAAGAACAGACACCCTTGCAATTCCTAGCCTTGGGATCTCCAGAGCTCCTCCCAGGTCACGTGCACCTGCCCAGCCGCCATCTCTTACTCCCCACTATACCCACCCTATTCAGTTCTGGGGACAGGAGAGCCGGTTGCAGGCAGGGCCGTCTCAGAGGCATGTGTCTCTGCTGTGGGGGCTAGTGCCTTGATGCAGGTGTGGCCCGCAGAAACCCCATAGGGGCACACCAGCTGAGCACAGCAGAACGTGGGGTCATCTGTGCTACTCCACTCTTCCCTGAGCCACCTCCCGATCGGAACCTTTCCTGCTGCTTAGGCCAAAGGCGTTCACAGATACAAACAGGAAATCAGAAAGCAATGTTGGGGAGAGACTACAGATGGAGTGTCCAATACACCGATAGTTTTTCCGAATGCAAGTTGCCATTTGCTAGTGTATCATAAACTCAAGCAAGCGGACCACCGGAAATCTTTTTCACAAGAACAGAGACAAAAACTAAAGAACAAAATAGCAGGAAGTAGCACTTGCATTATCTGTGAGGTTCTGTTCCAGTTTCGTAAACATCTGTATCTGTTGGTCTGTCTACCTACACACACACACACACACACACACACACACACACACACACACACACGTAGGCGTACCTGTTTCATTAGACCATGGCACATGCATGCGCAGTAGTGTAGATCCTGATGAAGAGTCTGAGAGCCATTGGAATATACCCAAGGCTTCTTGGACTCTCATAAGCAACATTTTTCTATCATGCAAAGATAAAAGGCATGAGCTGGTCCTAGCTCTTAAAGAACTGAGTCCATGAGAGACACTGTCTTGCAAATGGTTAAAGTCCAGCAGGATAAGGGCCCCAAGAGAGGAGGTGCTGGATGTGTGGGGGCCAGCAGGCTGGTGGCTCAGGTGCTCTGGGTCTTGCAGGGTTGTGTCTGACACCCAGGAAGGCAATGGCAATGGCAAACTAAGGAATAGCAGGTGAGAACCAACCCGTGCTGACAGTGGACTCCTCACAGATTGTTCTGCCAGCAGGCCGAGACCTGAGCAAACATTTGGCTTCTGGTTTTTTATTTGCTTTCTCTGAAATCAAACAGACCAACCAAGTCGTGAGCAAACATGGACTAGGGGTCGCTCTGGCCCTGCCTTGTTAATCTCTTTGACCGCTGACCCCATGAAGGCTGTCTGGGGCCCACTTTCCAGAGAAGCAAGCATGTAAGTCTTGGCCTGAGCAACCTTTTATGATGCAGAAAGTTGCAAGCCACAAGGTCCTGGGGAGCTACAAGGTCCAGGGGAGCGATGGAGCCCATTATAAAGGGTGTTAACCCATTGGTGACTCCCATCAGCTGGCTGTCCGGAGGAAACAAAAGGAGTTGTCGCTGGTTCCGCTTAGGCAGCCAGGCTTTAGAAACTGGACTGCCACTTCTCAGCATAGCCACAGCTGACTCAGAGAGTGTAGGTCTGGGGGACAGAAGACACGAGTTGATCTTGGCTTCCTTGGTTGATTACATGGGCATGTCTCCTATCTTTCCTAGATTTGGGGGCCTCTGGGGGGAAATTCAGGACTGTCTTAAGAGCAAATGAAACGCCTGGAAAGGCATGGCATGACCTGTGAAGTGACAGGTGTCAGATCATCTTGATGCTGTTGACCCCTCCCAGAGCTATGTCCTTCAAAGCCTGTCTTGCACCCTCTGTTTTTGTTGTTAAGATTTATTTATTTTCCATTTGAAAGGCAGATCTACATAGAGAAGGAGAGATGGAATGATTCTTCATCCACTGGCTCAGTCCCCAAGTAGCTGCAATGGCCCGAGCTGAACTGACCTGAAACCAGGAGCCTGGAGCCTCCTCCAGGTCTCCCACGTGGGTGCAGGATCCCAAGGCTTTGGACCATCTTCTACTGCTTTCCCAGACTACAAGCAGGGAGCTGGATGGGAAGTGGAGCAGCTGGGATATGAACCAGTGCCCATATGGGATCCCAGTGGTTACAAGGGGAGGACCTTAACCACGAGGCCACCACATCAGGCCCCTTGCATCCTCTTTACATCTCTGTCGGCTCCATCTGGAACCCACAGGTTTCCCCAGAGGTACTCTGTCCTTCGAAAGACACTGACTGGGTCCCAGGTAGGTGTGAGGCTCTGGACTTGCAGCTGGAGGATGCTGAGGCCCACACAGGCCCTGGCCTTGAAGAAGGTCATGTTCCTGGGAGGGAGACCTGCAGGCAGTGCTGTCTGTCAGAACTCAGGGAAAAGACAGATTGTTTTTTTTCTTTTTCTATTCTCAGATCAGGCCTCTGGGAACCCTTTGTGCTTTGTGACACAGCAAACCTAAACAAGACAACCGAGGCCTTCCACATAGCTGGACTGTTCCATGTTTAGAAAAGCTCTGCTCAGACAATACTGAGCAATATAAAGTGATTAGGGAAGATCATCACCAAGCAAGACACCAAGGTGAGTGGAATGAGAAAAACTGCAGCGATCTTGGGAAGTAGGTCCGAGTCCGCCCCTCTCTTGCTGGCTTCACTTATGCCTCCTGTTCGCCAGCAGAGGGCGCGCGAGGTTCGTGCTGAAGCTCCCGACTTCGCCCATTTCCACAAGAAAGGGTTTAAATTCAGTTAAACCTTTCGGGAACAAGAAGCTTCTCCACGAAGTATGCTTTTGTACCGTCATCTTAGGAGGCTGCTAGGGAAGAGAGAAGAGGAATCCAGCATATTTTCCCTTAACAAAAAATCTGTATAATTATTTTTACAGATGCATGTGAAGTTTTTCCCTTCTGGACTATACACAAAATGGAATTTTAGTAAACCCTAGAAAGGCTGTTGGTCGGATTCGCATGAGAAATGTTAGATGTTAGATTATACAGTTATAACTCACCATCACTTCCTATTTCCTGTTTATTCAATGAGGGGGAGGGATATTTTTGTGCCTTTTCAAACCCTAGGGTTTTTCCATTTAAAAAAATGAAGAGCGTTTTCATTAGGTGCTGGCCGAACCATTGTGTTGAAAACTTTTTACACAGGTGGTGTCCGATGGATTCCAGGAAGGAGCTGGGTTTGAACTTTAAGCCCTCAGCAGGTAATTTTAAGTTATCATTGCCTTTGTTTTGACTTCAGTGTGGAAAAGTAGGCCACAGGTTCTTGCCTAGTAGCTCATTGTCCCTTACAGAAAAGCTTTTGTGTGTGTAAATGGAAGCGGAGTTAGAGAACTATAAACTCCATCCCAGTAACTTGATTCTCCGGAGAAACGGTGACGGGGAGAGGCAGATCTTTCTAGAAGGAGTCAGACACGCTCTTAGTTTATTGCCCTCTTACCCTCTTCTGTTTTTTTTTTTTTTTTCCTCCAGTATTTGTTAAAAGCTACAGAAATCTCAGTTGTTCGATGTAACCCTTGGCCTCACAATTTATAGTCTTGCTAAGAGTTAAGCATTACAAAACTGAAGGTTGAGATCTATCTTACAGTTTAAGAAAATGAGATTAGCTCAGCTGCAGGAGCCTCACCTTTTCTGCCTGTCCCTCCTGTCCAAGCAGAGGTCACATTCGGCACCCAAGGGGCCCAGTGCTTTGTGAATCATAGAACGGTGTTGGCTGCAGTAAAATTCTAACCCAAGTACCAAGTGTGTCATCCTTCTAGAAAGTTCAGATGAAATTGGCTCTGCCCACGAGTCCCCTCCTCTTGGAAGGAGCCTGCATTTCTCGTGGTGACCCCTGGGGGAGCTCTCGCTTGTGCTGAGATCCTGGTGGGAGATTTTCTGCCTTCATGCATGTGCAGATCCTTTGCTGCCCCACACACCCCCGGCCAGGCCCACTTTGATCCTGTCATTTTCTTGACATTCCAGTGCCTCTTAGCATGTCTGTGTCACAGACTCTACTGGGTGTTGGAACACTGGGCCTGCAGCTCAGGCTTGATGGCACTGGGCGCTGTAGTGGAAAGCCCCTCACCTAGGGACGTTCCGACCGAGACACTGCCCAGGAAACTTTCCCCAGCAGACTTTCTGCATATCCTGTCCACCCATTACCAGGATTCCTGTGGTGCTCTGTGCCTCCCGCGACTTACTGCTTAGGAACAGACTGGGCAGGGATCCACATAAGGCTGATTGGCTAATTCTCTCCTTACAAGTACTGATATCCCATACGGGTGCCAGTTTGTGTCCCAGCTGCTCCCCCTCCCATCCAGTTCCCTGCTTGTGGCCTGGGAAAATAGTAGAGGATGGCCCAAAGCCTTGGGATCCTTTACCCATCTAGGAGACCTGGAGGAGGTTCCTGGTGCCTGGCTTCGGATTGGCTTAGCTCTGGTCATTGGGGGCCATTTGGGGAGTGAACCAGCAGATGTAAGATTGATCTCTCTCCCCTTCTCTCTGTAAATATACCTTTCCAATATAAATAAATAAGTCTTAAAATAGAACAGGCTGTACCTGCTGCTCAGACAGATTCCAGCTTAG